GTCCCCCCCGTACTATAAAAATAAACCCGGTATCTAAAAACAAAAAAAAAAAAAAAAAAAAAAAATTGATGTACTTTTTTTTTCCTTGACAGGGTCTTGCCTGTCCATTCTCATCTTGAACTGGCTCTGTATGTAGCTCAGGCAGGCATTGAATTTGTGAACTCCCTGCCTCATCCTTCTGAGGAGCAGAACCCAGACTGCGGTTCTGGGTCACTTGGTCAAGGTCAGGTTGAACTTTCTGATCTCTCAGAAATCATCTGTGGAGCCCTCAGAGAATGTGAGATTGGCACGTACAGTGCACAGTTGCCCAAGGCCACTGTTAGACCGTGGTTGCGTTAGTCCAAGTTGGTCTGAGTCAGGTTATAAGCATGTCTATAACCCTAGGCACTTGGAGGCAGAGACAGGAGGATCACCCCCCTAGTTCCAAGCTTACCTGGGCTATGTAACCTTGTCTCCACAAAGTAGTGGCTCAAGGATCAAAATGTCAACTTGGAGCTGGGCATGGTGGCACGTGCCTTTCATCCCAGCTCTTGGGAGTTGAGGCAGAAGCAGTCAAATCTGAGTTCAAGGCCAACCTGGTCTACAAAGTGAGTTCCGGAACAGGTAAGGCTATACAGAGAAACCCTGTCTCAAAAAACCCAACCCTCCTACCCTAAAAAGGTGAGGTTGGGGGAGGCAGAGGCAGGCGGATTTCTGAGTTCGAGGCTAGCCTGATCTACAGAGTGAGTTCCAGGACAGCCCAGGCTATACAGAGAAACCCTGTCTCGAAAAACAAAACAAAACAAAAACAAAACAAACAAACAAAAAGGTGAGGTTGGGCGGTGTCTCAGTTAGTAAAGTCCTGAGCAGGCCTTCATTTCAGCCTTAGAACCTATGCTTAAAAAAAAAAAATGGCTAGAGATGTGTTGTCTAATCAATGAGAGGCCAGTCTCAAAGGAAACTGTATTCCAGCTGACCTCTGACTCCACACCCACTGTAACACACACACACACCCAACACATATACACATATGACCATTAAAACGATTTTAAAAGAACTTGAGGTTTCGTCGGGATTCTGTCTTTTAAATATTGAGACTATATTGTTTTGTCTCTGTTCCAACTAATCTGACACGAGTTAAAACTCCAAATTGTGCTGAATTTATTTCCTAGAGAAAACACCATGCCTCTGCAAGCAGGGAGCCTTTCTTTGGTTTTCTGAATCTGCTCTGTAACAGGAGGTACTCTATAGACACTGGTCTATACGTAATGGGTCATGTGGTGTTCAGCCTATAAGTGGCACTGTCCTTACACTGGAGAAGCTGCTTGACAGGCAGGATGACGTCCCCATTCCGGGGTGGACAGTAGTCCGCCCAACTCTGCGTGCGCATCAGCCTTACTTGAGTCCCGCCCCATCATAGTGGGGTTACCGCCTCCGTCCAGGTAGGGGTGGCATGCGAGGGAGGGGCGATAGTGAGGGCGGGACTAGAGGGCAAGTCTGGGGCCTTGGGGCTCCCCGGACTTCCGACTACGCCGGAGGCTGTTCGGGTGACTGCCCTTCCGGGATGGCGACAGTTTCACGGCCCAGTGATGGCGATCTTGTAGATGCTGCGCCCTCGTGTCTGCAGTGCATAATCTCTGCAGCTCTCCTGCTCCTGTCCCTAGGACCCGCAGTTCTCAGCCTGGAGTCGGGTGTCCCGGGTGGCTTAAGGACACCGGGTGCTTGGCAGATGCCGAGCGGCGTCGCCTGCCCATCCTGACTGGCAGAGCCTAGGCTGTCAGAGCGAGGGGCCCTCCCGAGGCTCCGTGCGGCTCCCTGCTCCTACGCCTTCTGCTCCGGCGGCTGAGCAGCGGAGCAGAAAGCTGTCTTGGCGTGCTTCGGGGCCCACACCCCTGCAGTACGGACGCCCTACTGATGTCGCAGGGTAATAGGGACCTAAAGGCAGTTCCAAGGGGCTCTCACCCAGACCTAGGCCTTAGTGTGCCGTCTGCGTGTCACTGCGGGGTTATTATTTACTTACTAGGCCTAATTTATATATTTAAGTTTTATCACTGTGTCTCTAAGGAAAGTGTATGCGCTGTTCACTACCACCATGAGGGGGGTCATGGGATGTATCCCCCGATGAAGGGGACACCTATTAGGAAAGTATATTCCATTGTATATTAAGCATGTATGCTAAGCATTGCGTGCAGTAAGCTCTAGAAGGCTTGGAAGTGGTTATGGGGTTGTTTGTAAGGTTATGTGGCTGATTGAATGAGCCTGGGGGTGGAAACCAATCTAGTGCCTTTCATGATGCCCGGCAGCCTGGCAGCCTGAATGAACCTCTCAATGAGAGAATGAGAAAGTTCACTGACTAAGGGAGTAGGGCTATAGCTCAGCTCTGCTCATCCTACCCCAGGCTCCCCTGGGCTCGTGCAGACAAAAGTAATTAGGCGGAGCCTTTAATCACAGCTGGCTTCACAGGCAAGAGGACATGGAAAAGGAGGGAAAGAAAGGCAAGCAATCCTGGGGACAGACATGCCTCCCTCTGGGACCCTCTCCTCCCCCAGTTTGGCTCTCAGTAATCTACTGTTTTCTTGTCACCCTCAGGACACTGGGTTCCCTAGTTGCTGCCCCAGGTTTAATGATTGTCCAGAAGGCGGCTATAAAGAGCCTGGTGGAGGAGAGAGAGCACAGAAAAACACAGCTCAGCAGATCTGGGCAGTGAAGAGAGCTAGCAGCAAGGCAAGCGGGAGCAGTCAGGAGTCTGTGGTCAGAAGCACCGTGAGCAGGCCAGCAGGGCCAGCTTTTCCTACCATGGCAGCCCAGGGCTACGGCTATTACCGCACTGTCATATTTGCCGCCATGTTTGGAGGCTACAGCCTGTACTACTTCAACCGCAAAACCTTCTCCTTTGTCATGCCCTCCTTGGTGGATGAGATCGCTCTGGACAAGGACGATTTGGGTAAGCCTTGGAAGGGTAGGGTGGTGGGCTGTGGTTTGTCCAAGCATGCAGGGTTTCAAGCATGTATCAGGCCGAGATCCATGTGCATGGGTGTGGGTGAAGGACTGAGGCCAGCGCTTATCTGGTGTGTACGCCTGGGGCCCACACGTGCCCAGGAGCTGCTACTGAGAGGGAGCAGCAAGGTTGTCACATCCCTGGGTGCATGCTGCACCTACAGGTCACACTGAACACAGGGGAGGTAGCACCATGATTTGATGTGTCCTGCCGTGCTACCCGCCACGGGGAATAAGATCTCTGACTCGACTCTAGAACCCTTCACTCCACATTCAGCTGTGGCTGGGCAGTAGTTGAGGGCTTCTGTGGGCAGTCAGCCTGGGCCTATGCTGCACGGTTCAGCAGGCAGGAGAGTGTCAAATCTTCAACACAGGTCTTCCTGGTAATCCGGGAAGGAACCTGTTTCACCCTGCCGAGCACCTGTACACACCTGACCCCTTACCTTCCTCCACCCCTCCTGTGCCTCTGCCCTGTCCCTCACCCCTCAGGTGTCCTGCTCCCTGCTCCCCTTCGCTGCAGGGCTCATCACAAGCAGCCAGTCGGCGGCTTACGCCATCAGCAAGTTTGTGAGCGGGGTGCTGTCAGATCAGATGAGCGCCCGCTGGCTCTTCTCCTCGGGGCTGCTTCTGGTTGGTCTGGTCAACGTAGTCTTCTCCTGGAGCTCCACAGTGTCAGCCTTTGCTGCTCTCTGGTTTCTTAATGGTCTGGCACAGGGGCTAGGCTGGCCCCCCTGTGGGAAGATCCTGAGGAAGGTGAGTACATCGGACAAGCCTGCCTCAGGCAGTGCAGGGTACCTAGTGAGCACTTGGGAGCACGTCTCTACACAGCCCTCCCACCCAACCCATAGCAGGCTCCTTAGGCATCCCTGCCAGTTCCTGCTGCTGTCAGGATATTTTAGGAGCCTGAGGGTGGTGGGATCAGGTGGCAGATGAAGGACTTGGCTTCCAAGCAGAAGCACTCTTTCCCTTGGCCCTGTAATGTGAGTCTCTAGGCCTGCCATACTCGCTGCTCCCGTGTGGCCTCTAAGCCAGGCCTGTTCTGCTTCCCTCTGCCTCAGTGGTTTGAGCCATCCCAGTTTGGCACTTGGTGGGCTGTGTTGTCGACTAGCATGAACCTGGCTGGAAGTTTGGGACCTATCTTGGCAACGATCCTTGCCCAGAGCTATAGCTGGCGCAGCACCCTGGCCCTGTCTGGGGCACTGTGCGTGGTTGTCTCCTTCTTCTGTCTGCTGCTCATCCACAATGAACCTGCTGATGTTGGACTCCGAAATCTGGACCCTGCCCCCTCCAAGGGCAAAAAGGGTAAGCCTCTACCACGCTGACTCCCAGAGCACCTTCATTCTCCCTTGGCTCTGCACGATTCTGTCAGGACCAGCCTTTGCCTTGCCCCATGCTTGCCAATGGATGCAGGCAAAGGAACGGCAATGGAGATTGGGTAGGGAAAAGTTCTATCCTGACAGCACAGACCTCTCTATTCCGGGTAAGCCCCTAAGTTTAAGCAGTTTGGATGCCTTCTTCCATCTGCACCAGTCCTCACTTTCTTTCATCTCCAGCGAGGTAGGCGAGAGGGAAGCAGGGCTTTGAGGGGATGCCTGTCAATCCTGGTTGTGCCCACAGCCTGTCCTGGCAGCGGGTTAATGAACGGTGGTGGTGCAGTGGGGGCAGGCCAGCAGGAGCAGAGCCCAAATCCTAGCAGGCCTCTTCTCACCTCCAGGCTCGTCAAAGGAGGAGAGCACCCTACAGGATCTGCTGCTGTCCCCCTATCTCTGGGTGCTGTCCACTGGCTACCTCGTGGTCTTTGGAGTAAAGACTTGCTGTACAGACTGGGGCCAGTTCTTCCTTATCCAGGAGAGAGGGCAGTCCGCTCTTGTGGGTAAGATGGGTGTTTAGACAAGGAAGGGTGTACAAACCAGAAGCCAATACAGGAGATGGGATCCCTGCCTTTTCTCCCTGAATCCACTTCCTGCTTAAGGATGGGCATCCTTGGAGGTGGGTCTCTATCTTGGGATAACCTTAATGGGAAAACACCTTTTCGCTCTTTTCCCTTCCTCCTCCCCACAATTCCCCATGCAGGTAGTTCCTACATCAGTGCCCTAGAGGTTGGAGGCCTTGTAGGTAGCATTGCAGCTGGCTACCTGTCAGACAGGGCCATGGCAAAGGTGAGTGGGCAGGAGGAACTGTGACGGTAGCTGGGCCAGCCAGTGGAGATGGGAGTCCTGGCATATGAGCTGGTTGGCACAGAAGGTAGGGGGTGGGTGAGATGGGCGTCATTCAGTTTTCTCTCTACCTGCCTTAGAGATGTGGAGATGAGGCCAGTGGCCAAGAGACCCAGAATCTCTCCCTAGTCAGGAGGCTTCTGTGCTCCAAGAAAACTAGGGGTGGCAATGGACTAGGCACAGCTCCCTAGCACGTGTCCCATGCCTGCCCCAAGGTGGAGGAAGGGATGTTCTGGAATTTGGCCTCAGAACATGGAGCAAGCTCCCAGGGCCTCCCAGAGCTGTCTGGGGCCAAGAACTGTGACAGATTGCCAAAGACCTGTCAGCAATAGCCCTGCTGTGTCAGAGTCCAGGGTGGGGGTGTTTTGCCCTGCTATGGCCCTGATATGGCTGGTACTGTATCCATAGGCAGGGCTGTCTGTGTATGGGAACCCTCGCCATGGCCTGTTGCTGCTCATGATGGCTGGCATGGCAGCATCCATGTTCCTCTTCCGGGTCACAGTGACCAGTGACTCACCCAAGGTAAATATAGAGAGCCTGGCTGGCTGCAAGGTACAAGGAGAGAAAGGAAGACCTTCTCCTCTGGGCCGGCTCCTTCTCCCTTTGCAGTTCTGTTTGCACCTTATTTTCTCGCTTTGGTACTCTGTGTCTCGCCTCCACTCTGGGCCTGGTTTTCTTCTCTGTGCTCTGCTCTCCAGGATGCTTTCTGGACTCCTGCTCTCCATCCTCTGGCTGAGCTCACAGGCTTTACGGAGCACGAGGTGCCTTAAAGATATCTCTGGTTTCCTCCTGGTCTGTCTCACTTTTGTTTCACCCGTCTTGCCCCTAATCAGCCCAGTTTCCAACTCTGAGGGATGACTCTATCTCCCCTGTCCCTGTCCACCTAGTCCTTTGGGGCTGGCTCATTCACTGTGGGGTGAGGATGGCTCCCGACTATGCCTTGTCTAGTTTGTTCCTGAGGGCTTCTAGGCACTCTTTCCTCAGTAGGCACTTGTGGGCACTCTCTAGTTCTCAATGGCACCTCTTGCTCCTCTTGCAGATCTGGATCCTGGTGTTGGGAGCCGTGTTTGGTTTCTCTTCTTATGGTCCCATTGCCTTGTTTGGAGTCATAGCCAATGAGAGTGCACCTCCCAACTTGTGTGGTACCTCTCACGCCATTGTGGGACTCATGGCCAATGGTAAGTCCTCCGCTGCCTTGCTTAGGCCAATTACAGGCAGAGTGCTTACTCCTCACACGGCTCGGCTCAGCTTCTCCTTTTCCCCGACAGTGGGTGGATTTCTCGCGGGGTTACCCTTCAGCACCATCGCCAAGTACTACAGCTGGAGCACGGCCTTCTGGGTGGCAGAAGTGATTTGCATAGCCAGCACAGTTGTCTTCTTCTTGCTTCGAAATATCCGCACCAAGATGGGCCGAGTATCCAAGAAGGCGGAGTGAATGGGGCACTCACTATGGAGCGTCCCTGACTGCAGTCTCACTGGCGGGACACAGAAGGGAGGGGGGCTGCTCTGGCTAGCACAGAACCTTTACGTTCCGGTGTCTCCACTGTCTCTCTGGACCTCCATGGTGCTGCAAGTTACCAGTGGCTAATGAAGCCCCAACTCCCCATCCTATGCTCTATTTAAATGATGACGTTTGGTTTTAGACTCCATCAGCTTCTGTTTCTACCTTCTAGCAGACAGACAACTCCTGAATTCAGGGCGTCTCCTATACCCTTCTTCCTCTCCTAGGCCCTGATCTTCTAGCGAGGTGAACCTGTCTCTGCAGCTGCAGAATATTAATGACCCGTGGTTTCTGCTGTACCCCAAGGCTTCTTGTCAGGGGGCAAAATTGTTGCCAATACCTCAGTCCCTAAGGGAGGAGAGGTCACCGCTCTCATCAATACCCTGGGACAAAAGGAGGAACGTAGAGGGCAAACCGACTTGTATAGATTAATAAACTAGATTTGATACTAAACAGTCAGTAGCTCATCCTTTCTTTTTTTTTTTTTTTTTTGTTTTTTGTTTTTTTGTTTTTTCGAGACAGGGTTACTCTGTGAAGCCCTGGCTGTCCTGGAACTCACTCTGTAGACCAGGCTGGCCTCGAACTCAGAAATCCGCCTGCCTCTGCCTCCCAAGTGCTGGGATTAAAGGCGTGCGCCACCACCGCCCGGCTAGCTCATCCTTTCAAAGGGAGACATAAACCAGACAAAGCTTTTCTTGGGAAAGTATTCTTGGAGTATCTGCTCTTTCCACCCCAAAGGAAAGACTTCTCTGGAGTGAGACAGCAGAAGTATAAACGGAAGCTTCTGAGTACAAGCTTGGCATTCAGCTAGCGCTATGCACATCTAGGCTGCAGGCAGGTTAAATACCTCCATGGAAGGGTACGCCCAAAGCATGGGTCCAAACTTAACAGTAACTGGCTCAAGAACTTTGAAGCACAGGTATTCTATAATTTGCTAAATTCTGTGTGTAAGAGAATAGAATATACACCATGGGGCCAGAGTGCATGTTGAGATAAAATTGAGCTTGCTTTCAAGTGCTAGTAAGTGCCCCATCATCCACCACAACCACCTCAGGCTCTTAGAAAATCAGCAGCTCTGGGACCGCCTCTAAGGCTCAAGAGTCAAGCTATTCTGCTAGTTTGTTTAATGAATGTCATTTGCCTTGTTTTCTACTAGAAGACAGTATTTACATCCACAGAATGCCCTTACCAGTTCTGCCCTCCCCTCCCCTGCCTTTCTACCAAATGGTCAGTTAGGACAGAAAACACTAGAACAAAGGAATGTTTATTACAGCATTGCTAAGCCAGCTTCCTCCATAAATAAATCTGTACAGAGTAGGGCACAGGACTGTGATATATACAGAGGGGCAGAGAACACAGCATTCTAGCCCAGGATCTGTCCCCATCACTGGGCTCAGTGTTCTACCACTTTCAAGTATATCAGCAAGGCTGCTGCGATAGGATCCTCACTGAGTAGAAACAGCAAAGCCCTCTGGAGCACATCTTAGAGCTTAGGGAGTCCATTCCAGGCTCATCCTATGACCCCGGTCCAAAGGTGCCAGCCTTCTCTGCCACCTCTAGAGCTAGCTTCAGGTTCTGGTCAAACAGCTCACATCTAGGCCAGATCCAGAAGACAAGAAATGTGAGGTATGAGACTTCCACCACGAGGGTAGAGACAGAACAGGTAGAAACTATTTGAAGGACATGAAGCCTAAGGAAGCCCTGTGTTCTCAAGATAAATAGAGCTGGTCACACTTGTCTTTACCTAAAAGCAATACTCGGTCGCACTTTGAGTGACTTGAGAGGCAGCACGAAGCTTTGGCAGTATCTGTGGAACGAGGCTACCTACCTGATGGGCATCTCCAAGGAGTAGAATGGATTCTTGAGGGCAAAGTCTGAGTAAATTTCATAAATTTTTCGGAGAAGAGAATCTATTCCAGCTTGTCTAGGATCTGCCAGGACCACAAACTTGATCCCTGGAGAAAAACATGGTAGACAGCGCATCAGATACCATTCTGTATTTTTTCAGCCCTTTCAATATTATTAACTACTATCATAAACCCATTTTTATTTTGTCCTTACTGCCACATAAAGCAGTTAACAGAGGTGGCCAGAGATGGGGTGACTTCAGTCTCACTAGGTGACTGATTGACCAGACTCAAGATTAGCTGCCATTTTCAGACTCACAGCTCCTCGGCAGAAATAGGAGAACCGAAGCCAAACTCTGGCAGTTCAGTTATCTACACCACGGGGTGAAGCAATGATAACTAGGATCCAAGGCCGTGTCTACTTGGCTTTCAAATTTTATTTAGAATACACACCTTCCAAAAGGTGTGAAGTCTATCATCTAGATTGTCCCCAAGCCCAGGATAACCAGGGTTGAACATGCTGGCCGACACAAAGAAAGTCAGCCTTGGACTAAAGAGTAGTTTTGGAGTCACCAAACAAATGGGTGTGTTTGTACATGTGTGCCCGGAAAAACCTGACACCATCCTTGTTTACTGAAGCTTTCTCACGTCAATCCCCTGGGCCATGTTGAACCAATCTGCCCTGTCTATCGCTATGACCTCTGTAGGCACATACCTGTCAGTGTTTGGAAGCAGTGCAGTTTGAATGTGTCTGTTTCCAGCATCTCAATGCCTGAACTGCCCTGTTCCGGAGATAGCTGAGAACCAATGGCAAAGAGCCTGTATCCAAAAGAGGTAAAGTTGGGAACATACCATGTGACACGAGGGGACAATAAACTTTTCTACTCAAGTACCCAATCTTTGGAGGAATTCACCTCTACAGCCTGGGACAGTCAGGAGAAATACTGTGAACTGCCTAGCAGGAGGGTCAAAATTTCTTTTAGTTTCATCTGCCTTCTGTACACATTATATATATTATACATTTTGCTACGAAGCAAGATTTACTCCCCAAGTTTTACTTAATTTTTATTTATCATCTCAGTCACTCCTCTGCAGGCTGCTTTATGTAGCAATAAGAACAAAATAAAAATGGACTAATCGAAGTATATGAGTGTTTTCGCCTGCACATATGTATGTGTGCCATGTATGTGCCTGGTGACTGTGGAAGCCAGAAGCTATCAAGTCCCTTCGAACAGGAGTTACAGTTGTGAGCCACCACATGGATGCTGGGTCTCTCCAAGACCAGCCAGCACAGAACCATCTCTCAAGCCCCAAACTGAAACATTTTATACTAAATGTGTTAGCTAAAGCCAACATGCTAGGGAAAACATGCATACCTTATTAGTTCATGGCTATTCCCATGTCAACACACCTTACACCACAGGTAGTCACAGGAAGACTTTTAATTATTTACCCCATGGTGGTGGTGCCGCCTTTAAACCCAGCACACAGAAGGCAGAGACAGGTGGATCTTTGAGTTTGAGGCTAGCCTGGGCTACAGAATGAGTTTCAAGACAGCTATGTGTACACAGAGAAACTGTCTCAAAAGAATTTTTTTTGGGGGGGGGGTTTTCGAGACAGGGTTTCTCTGTGTAGCCCTGGCTGTCCTGGAACTCACTCTGTAGACCAGGCTAGCCTCGAACTCTCGAACTCAAAAATCCACCTGTCTCTGCCTCCCAAGTGTTGGGATTAAAGGTGTGCACCACCACCGCCCGGCAAGAATTTAAAAAAAAAAAATCAATTACCTTATGTTATAAATGAAGAAACTAGGGCTAAGAGGACAAGAAGCTGACTGGGCAAAAATCAAACTACCTCAAACCTGAGTATAGGTGACATTTCTTCATAACAAGAGTTCTGCCACTTAAGAGGTCCAAAGTGACTGTCAGTACATACACACAAAAAAAATGCACTGGTCTGGGGAGGAAATGTTTAAGAGGGTAGGGACACTTACGAGTGGAACATAGAGGCGAGCATAAGCTTCTCGTTGGAGGTAAGGCGGGGGCGGCCGAAGCGGATGGAAACCGGGTAATTCGCAGAGTTAGCCAGATACTCCAGCACTTCCTTCCCGTCAGCCGTGTACTTGCCATTTACATCCATGCCATTGATGGCCAACACTGCATGGCCCACTACAGGAGAGTGGCTAAGGATCAGAGATGCTCGCTCCACTCCCCGCCCCTCCTTTTACTCCCACCCCCATTCTGCACCCTGAGCCCTCCTTTTACTCCCGCTCCCACCCTGCACCTGCCCGCCAGCACGCTTCCGCAGCGCCGGCCCCGCCCCCAGCCCAGCCCACCCCGGATGCCGTCTCGCTGGCCGAAAGCGACCAGCACACGTTCGTCGTGCAGTTTCAGCAGCAGGTCGAGCGGGTAACTGAAAGTTTTCTCAGCCTCAGCCCGTGGCGAGTAGCTGTCCCATTGGTAAATCAGGCCGCCGGCTTTGTTCACCACGTACACGCTAAAGATCGCCATAACTGCGCTACGGATCGGGCACTACAACTCGGCCCCGCCCAGACGCTCCTGCCCCGGAAGTGCTGTCATAGCCCCGCCTCTACTCACCCTCCTGCCTGAAGCGCACGCGCAAACCAAGGTCCCATCTAATAAACGAATTTCTGGGAAATGGTCTACTGTATTTCTCAATGACAGAGAATTAGTGGATATCGAGTGACCCACATCAAAGGGCAGCAATTTTACGACCAGCCCCACAGTTTGCACGCTGGAAGCCACTACCCCCATTCCCTTTCACAAAGAGGGCGAGGCGGAGTTTAGCCAACCCGTGGCTCCACCCCTTGCCCCGGAAGTACTCTCTCGAGGCAGAGGTTTCTGGGATTGTTGGCCCACCGGGCTTCCTTTTTTTCCGACATCTTAGTGAGGCTGCAGTGGTCCACACTACTCTCTGAGTTTCGCCATGGTAAGGCCCGCGAGTGTTGAGCAGTGGGGTTCAGAGAGCCGAGCGGTGCTGGGGGGAGGTGGAGGCGACCCTACACGGAGCGCTTCGTGATCCGCGGGCCTGCCTCTCGGTGGCCGCGGCCATGTGTCCATGTGCTCCGGCGGCGCCGCCGTGGGTGGGTGACGGACTGCGATCGGGGCGTATGGGACCACCGTGTGACTACCCTCCACTCCCGCTTTCTTCCCCTAGCCGCCCAAAGACGACAAGAAGAAGAAAGATGCCGGAAAGTCGGCCAAAAAAGACAAGGACCCCGTAAATAAATCTGGTGGCAAGGCCAAAAAGAAGGTAAGAGATAGCTACCTGTAATAAGATTCTGTGGTGTCTTTCGTGAATTTTTTTCCAGATACTGAATTCTAAAATCATACTGTTGACGTTTTTCTCTTTACTCATTTTTGCCATCATTTCAAGGTAGTGATAGTCAACCTACCTAATGCTGCGACCTTTTTAATATGGTTCCCCTTGTTGTGACCACCAACCGTGAAATTATTTTCGTTGCTACTACTTCATAGCTAGTTTAACTACTGCTATGAATCGTAATGTATACGTCTGGTCTTCAAGATATCAGATAGCGACTCCAAAGTTGCCGATACATTAAAGCCAGGAAGCCTTTAATTTATCTGAGGTGATAGTGACAGGGGTTTCTCAGATGCTTGATATTTGGGAGAAAGGAGCTGGTTCTGACTGGTTCTCTGATTTGTTTTGATGAGCAGAAGTGGTCCAAAGGCAAAGTTCGGGACAAGCTGAACAACCTCGTCCTGTTTGACAAAGCTACATACGACAAACTCTGTAAGGAAGTGCCCAACTACAAGCTCATTACTCCAGCTGTGGTCTCTGAGAGACTGAAGATTCGAGGTTCCTTGGCCAGGGCGGCCCTTCAGGAGCTACTTAGTAAAGGTAAAAGATGTGTCCTGTGTTTCTACAAGTGGGTTGTCTTGTTGGTAGCAGCGTTACTGGGAAAACTTTTGAAGTATAGACTGACTTCCAAAGTCTTTTGGTTTTTTTCGAGACAGGGTTTCTCTGTATAGTCCTCGCTGTCTTGGAACTCACTCTGTAGACCAGGCTGGCCTGCCTCTGCCTCCCAAGCGCTGGGATTAAAGACGTGTGCCACCACCCCCCAGCTTCCAAAGACTTTAGTTGTGAAAATCCAGGTTTTAGTCACTTTAGTGCCATGGATGCCTCTGCAGTTCCGTGAGCACAAGGTCCCTTTAAGTGAGTACATAATATGCAGAGAAAATTACTGCTTTTTTTGAGATAGAACCCTATTTCTGCGTAGTTCTTAGACCCTTTGTAGACCAGTCTGCCGTCCCAACTCAGGCCTCCTGCTGGGAACAAACTAGCTCACCGCCACATCCTGTCACTGCTGTTAATGTCCTTATGGTTGGCCATGAACCCCTGATCCTTGATTTTTTTGCTTCTCGGTTAATTGGGATTAAGGGCGAGTGCCACCGTGCCGTTATTTTAAGTACACACACTGACTACATACAGCAAGGTCTACGCAGGTGGGGTCTAGGTGTTGTGGTTCAGTTGGGTCACAAGTATGAAGTAAACTATGGCCCATCATCTGTACTAAGGATCTAGAAGAGCAGGGTTCATGTCCTTGAGGACCTCATGCAGTTACTCCTGTAACCGAAACACTTCTATGTCAAGATAGACACTTCCCAGGAGCTCTCTCTCAGGCCAGCGAGCTTAAACTCGGCTGTACAGCAGCATGAGAGATCCTGCCTCAACAGGATGGAAGAGGAAAGCTGATGCCTGACAGTTTACTTTCCCCTACACTCAAACTAAATTCAGAGTAAATCCTAAAAGCTCACTCTTTGGTTCTCCTGTCCCAGTTTTTCTATAGACCAGGTTGGACTCTATCTCCCAAGTGTGGGATTGAGGATGCATGCTTGTGAACCCAGTATATTGAAGGCTAAAAGGATCAGCACCAAATCTCAGGCCAGCTTGGGATACAGTATATGACCTGGCATCCCTAAGAATTGTTTAGGAATTCTGTTTGTATAAGAAATGTAGCCGCACGGTGGTGGTGCACACCTTTAATCCCAGCACTTGGGAGGCAGAGACAGGCGGATTTCTGAGTTTGAGCCCAGCCTGGTCTACAGAGTTCCAGGACAGCCAGGGCTTCACAGAGAAACCCTGTCTCGAAAAACAAAAAGAAAGAAAAAAAGAAATGTACGTTCAACATCTGCTATATAAGAAATCTGACATCCCTGGAGCCAGTCCCAGAGCATCAGATTTCCTTCTCAGATACCAGATGCACATGTGTACATACATTCATGCAGTCAAAACCCTTCAAATACATTGAATTTTAAAACTCTGCCCTTCCTCCTTAGGACTTATCAAGCTGGTTTCAAAGCACAGAGCCCAAGTAATTTACACCAGAAACACAAAGGGTGGAGATGCCCCGGCTGCTGGTGAAGATGCATGAGCAGGTGGGAACCAAAGGCTTCTTTCTCGGTGTTGAAGCATTGCACGTTCCCCTTATGAGATGTTCCGGTTGTGACTTCGGTTTTCTATTTGTTTTACAGGTTCAGTCAGCTGTACATTTGGGAAAATAAAATTTTATTGAATCAAATGAATGGGTGCATCTGTTTCCTGAGGCAGGTGAAGAGGAATAAATAGCTGGGATGGGTTTGTTGGCCATTCTGAGACTGGGCCCGGGAACCTTCAGCTTTTCCCTTTGTGTGGCTGCTTGCTTCTTGTTGCAGCTTCAGTTTTGAATTGATGCCTGAAAGGAAATAAAGACTTAGCAAGATTAATGGTAAACTTTAGGGAGGTTGCTGGTTAAAGTCTGGACGCTTATCCATACCTGGACTGCCAGCGGCGTCCGTTGTTCCAGACTCTGCCAAAAGAGGGCAGCCAGCCTGCACTGGTGTTGGAACTGTGATCAAAGTTGGCGCCAACTCTATCTGGAGGGAGTTTCTTCAGTTTTTGTTTTTCCTCTGCAAATAGGAAATATGTAGCTGGGTCTACAGACACTGCAGCTAGCCCGATTGTGAAGACCTGAAACTTAAATGTGTTTCTTGAGGTAGCTTGCTTACTTTCTTTAAGAAATTCTTCGTAGGAGGGTCCTATTGGGAGGCTTCCCGAGCTGTGCTCCTCCTCCTGCATCATCCAGGGAGGTGTGGCACCTAGAGCAAAGCAAAGCCCTTTCAGAATTAAAGTGGTTCGGGAGTTAACGCTGGCTGTTCTTTCAGAGGACCAGAGTCCAATTCCCAGTACCCACATTGCAGTTTGCAGCCGTAATTCGAGCTCCATAGGGTCTGATACTCAATACAGATGTGTGCAGGCAAAACCACAAATGCACGTGAAGTACAAATTTAAAAAGTAACCCCGGGATTCTGAAAGCTTGGCAGTAGGTAGCCCAGAGTACTCTTCTGGTGCCTTTAGTTTTTATATGCATATTAAGTATTATGCCTGTACGTCTGTCACGACGTGCGGGCAATGCCTAGTGCCTGCTGAGGTCACAAGAGGATAGTGGAGGGCTGGAGAGATGGCTCAGTGGTTAAGAGCACTGACTGCTCTTGCAGAGGTCCTGAATTCAATTCCCAGCAACCACATGGTGGCTCACAACCATCTGTAATGGGATCCGATGCCCTCTTCTGGTGTGTCTGAAGAGACTGACAGTGTAAAGAGGACAGTGGATCCTCTGGGACTGGAGTTGAGCTGACTTGCCACGTGGGTGCTGGGCACTGAACCTCAGTTCTGCCATCACCAGGTCTACTGACTTTTGGGACAAGGTTTCTCTAGCCCTGGCTATCCTGGACTCACTCCATAGACCAGGCTGGTCTCAAACTCAAGATTCTACCTGCCTCAACCTCCCCAGTGCTTTGTTAGTAGCTTCAATGAAAGCCCTGAGTTGATGACGCCAGTATCATTGTACTCTGTTAAAATACCTGCACTGTAGCTTCGTTTGGAAGGGATATCTGAGTACACTGAACTCTTTCAAGGTGGCATATTACACTCCCCAGCATTTCAGTAACCTCCACCTTGCATAACTGCCAAGCAGTTGGTACATGCAGTTAGTATTTTAGTTACCTGTTGGAAGTTTCAAACTGATTAATGGTTTGACTGTACCTTATGTTCCTCAACCTGGCTTTAAAATGAAGACCTCCCTGCCTTAGGGTCCCAAGTGCTGGGGTTACAGGTTCTATCTATGTTTGTCTTGCACTGGAGTCTAGCTGAAATAAACTTGGTTCCAGCTAGGGTTGCTGGCCAGCACCTGTCCCCATCCCATAGTACTGGGGCTAAAGTCATGCCTGAGTTTCGGGGCACTGGAAGCTGGGTCTTCCTGCCTGCACAGCACGTGCCCTTACTCAGCCATTTCCTCAGCTCTGGAAAGTTTTGATCTATTCTGGATACAAATTCTTGATAAAAGGAGACATTAAGAAATGTTATTTAAGGGGCTGGAGAGATGGCTCAGCGGTTGAGAGCACTGACTGCTCTTCCAAAGGTCATGAGTTCGGGTCCCAGCAACCACATGGTGGCTCACAACCACCCATAATGAGATCTGATGCCCTCTTAAGGTGTCTGAAGACAGCAGCAGTGTACTTACATATAAGTAAAAACCTTTAAAAAAAAAAGTTACTTAAAAAGAAAGTAACAGCTGGATGGTGATGGGGCACGCCTTGAATCCAAGACAGAGATCTGGGCCAGCATGGTCTACAGAGAGTCTCACGATGGCCAGAGCTACACAGAGAAAACCTGTCTCAGAAAACCAAAAGGAAAAACAAAACCCCAGCAAACTGGTTAGATACGGCATGTCTAGTTCTAGGACTTAAGTTGTTTCAAGAACTCAAGGCCAGTGTGAACAAAGGGTTAACCTGTGTCAAAACAGCTGAGCACTCAGGAGGCAGAAACAGACTGTCCAAACAACAGAAACCAAAAGACAACCTTGCAGACCCAGAAAGCTGCTCAGAAACTTACCTGAGTGAATGTTACCAACTCCGGGTGCATCCTGTGGGAAAAACAGGGTAGAGATGAGACAGCACAAGATAGAATACTCATAAGCAATTGACAGCAAACCTTAGTGGGGACACAACTTTGGACAATGCTACTTCAGTACTTCTAAGGAATTCTCCAGTAACTAAGGACAGTCCCAAGGCAGACGGGGTAAAATTGGGGAGGTACCGGGATTTAAGGGCAGGGTGGCTAGTTTCAGATGCCTATATGGACACCCTATATTGGGCAAGTTGAGACACTGATAGCGAGGGGCAGCAGTTATGAAAAGGATCACTGAAAGGTTGCAACAGGGCTTAGGAACACTATTAAGGAAAGGCTCAGTAAGGGAAGTCCAACAGAGAACATAGAGATGGCTAGAATAAGTGGAAATAAGCCAAATAGGTCTGTTGTGGGACTCGAGAGCTTAGTGACTCTCTTCCGGTTTGCTTGCTCTTGTACCTGATGGCCAATGAATGTTAGGTGCTGTCCTGTCTCCATCCAATCAAGCTCTGCAACAGGCTGCAAGGCCAAGTGTGATACCTGCTGTGAGCTGGAGGCTACATGGCTGAAAGACAGGGGAGCCAGGCTGGCAGATGAGGTCCTTGAGCACTGAGGATGGCAAAGGTCAGATTGGTTCCCATTTCCCACCATTCAACTACAGAGGTTCCCTGGGGACTTACCCATTGGTCGCTTTCCAACTTTCAGGTGCCGAAGAACCCTCTTCTGGATCTGACTCTGCCTGAGGCTGAGTTTGATTCAGGAAAAATCAATGTGTCTAAAGTGCTCAAGAACCTGCCTGGGCCATGCCCCCACACTCCAGACTCCAGTACCTTATGGAAGGTACTGCCCGTTTTGCCAACCCCCAGCCCTGCCCACATCTCTCGGCCTGCCCCCAGTGGACATGGTAGTGTGAACCGTTAGTTCTCTGAGAAGAGCTGACTTGAAGTGCTGGACGGGGGAAGCCAGGCATCAGTGGAATTGGATACTGCTCTGGGTCCTCCGAGGGAAACCAACCTCTAAGACAGATCGGACCACTTCCTGCCGACTCTGTTCTACCTCACGGATCTGAGCTGCCATCTGTGGGAGAAAGAACGCTTAGATGGGTTCAGGATTACGGGGCAAGGTCTCTCAGAGGCCTTCCCTCTTACCTCTTTAATCACTTCATCCTCCTTTTCCTCATAGGAGTCCAAGCCCTTCACCATGGACTTCTTAAACCTAAAAAGATGGGAATTATAAAAATACTGAAAAGAGCCAGGCAGTGGTGGCGCATGCCTTTAATCCCAGCACTTGGGAGGCAGAGGCAGGCGGATTTCTGAGTTTGAGGCTAGCCTGGTCTACAGAGTGAGTTCCAGGACAGCCAGGGCTACACAGAGAAACCCTGTCTCGAAAAAAAAAAAAAATACTGAAAAGAGATGAAGCCACTTAGAACTCCAGCCCTAAGTTGTAAAGAACACTTCAGTAGACAGTTTTTAATTCTGAGGTGGGGGGAGAGACAGTCTCATCGTACATTAGGTCAGCATACAATTCCCACCTCAGCCAGAGTGCTGAGAATACAGGAATGAATTACCATGCTCAGCTCAGATAATTCTGAGAATTTTCAACTCAAAAAAAACCAAAACTGTCTCGAAAAAAACCAAAAAACAAACAAACAAACAAACACAACAATAACAACAACAACAAAACAAAACTGGTAAAGTAAGCACCTTGCCTCTCACCTGGGGACCCGTCACTGCCATACAGCTCCACTATTATTCATTTATTTTCTTAAAAAAATTTTTTTTTAGCCGGGCAGTGGTGGTGCACGCCTTTAATCCCAGCGCTTGGGAGGCAGAGGCAGGTAGATTTCTGAGTTCGAGGCCAGCCTGGTTTATAGAGTGAGTTCCAGGACAGCAAAGACTACACAGAGAAACCCTGTCTTGAAAAACAAACAAACAAACAAAAAAAATATATATATATATATATACATATCCTGCCTGCATGCATGTCTGTCTACCACATGCATTTTTAGTTTCCTTGGAGACCAGAAAAGGGTGTTGATCCCTTGGGAGTGGAGTTATGGGTGACTGTGAGCTGCACAATTAGTGGGTACTGGACGCTGAACTCAAGTCTTCTGCAAGAGTGGCAAGTTCTCTTAACCACGCAGCTCATCTCTAGCCCCTGTAGACCAGGCTGTCCTCGAACTCATGGAGACCAATTTGCCGGGATTCAAGGCTGTGCCACCAGGCCAGGCTCACAATAACAATTTCTGACAGGAATATTCCACTGCTGGTGAAGTGCCAACACTCATTCTGTTACCAATGCCACTTTTTTTTTTTTTTTGGCTTTTTTGAGACAGGGTTTCTTTGTGTAACAAAGCCCTGGCTGTCCTGGAACTCACTTTGTAGACCAGGCTGGCCTCCAACTCACAGACATCTGCCTGCCTCTGCCTCCCAAGTACTGAAACCAAAGGTGTGCGCCACCATGCCTGGCTGACCAATACTACTCTTGACCACTTCACCTTTATGCCTGAATTATAGGAAATTACAGAAATTATAGGATATTTTCCTACTTAAATCCTTCCATTCAAGCCGGGCAGTGGTGGCGCACGCCTTTAACCCCAGCACTTGGGAGGCAGAGGCAGGCGGATTTCTGAGTTCGAGGCCAGCCTGGTCTACAGAGTGAGTTCCAGGATATCCAGGGCTACACAGAGAAACCCTGTCTCAAAAGAAAAAAAAGTAGGGCTGGAGAGAGATCTCAGTGGTTAAGAGCACCAACTGCTCTTGTAGAGAACTCAGGATTGAGTCCCAGCACCCACACTGTGTCTCACGGAGACTATAACTCTAGTTCCTGGGGATCTAATGCCTTCTAGTTTTAGAGGGCATCAGACACACAAATGGTATGAACACATATACATGCGATAAAAACCCATACACATAAAATCATTCATTTAAAAAAAAAAAGTACATCCTCCTCTTCCAGTGGACTCAAGTTCAGTTCCCAACATCCACGTTGGACAGCTGACAACAACCAGGAACTGAAACTCCAGAGATGCTTCTGGCCATCTTGTGGTGTAGTACTCAGATGCACATACCCAACCCAGACATGGACACACACATAAATACACACAAGATAATCAATCTTAGGAAAAAAAAAATACCACTATTGGCTTGGAGAGAAGGCTCAGAAATTAAAAGCACACGCTGTTCTTGCATACAACCCAAGTTCAGTTCCCAACACATATGTGGGGCTGGTCACAACTGCCAGTAACGCCAGCTCCAGGAAACTATCACCTCTGGACTCCGAGGACACCTGAATTCACACCGCAATGCCCCAATTATTAAAAATAGAAAATAAGGGCTGGAGAGATGGCTCAGAGGTTAAGAGCACTTGATATTCTTGGAGAGGACCTGGTTTTGGTTTTGAGCACCCAAACGGTGGCTCACAACTGTGTAACTCCAGTTCTAGGGCATGTGACATCCTCCTCTGGCCTCTGCAGGTACTACATGCTCATGGCATACACACATTCAATTCAGGCAAAACATTCCTACACATAAAGTCTTAACTAATACCACCACTGAGAAAGTGGAGGCAGGAAGATCTTGAGACTACGGCTAGCATGGATTATATAAGAGATCCTGTCTCAAAGCAAAGCTAAGCAATCCTGTAATCCTGTCTTGGTTCAGGGCATTTGTATGCTCTTTTACATCTTGCTTTTTTTTTTTCTCTCTCTTACTTAGAAGGGTGAGTCAAATGCAGTGGTACATGACTTTAGTCCCAGCACTCAGGAGGCAGAGGCAAGCAGAGCTCTGTGAGTTCAAGGCCGCCCGATCTACATCGAAAACCAGGACTAGAGAGACCCTGCCTCATAAAAACAAAACAAAAACAACAACAAACAAACAGCAATTCATCACCCTCAATAGTAAATTTTTAAATATCTTCATTCGCTAATCAAAAATCACATGAAGGAGGCTGGAGAAATGGCTCAGAGGTTACGAGCACAGGCTGCTCTTCAAAGACCTAGGTTTAAGCACCCATCTGGCAACTCAGAACATTCTGTGACTCCAGTTCTGGAGGATCAGATGCTCTCTTTTGACCTCAGAGGCTAGCAATCCTCTTGTCTGGGCCTTCTAAACAACTGGGACTAGAGGCCTAAGGCACCGTAACTGAGCCATGACTTCTTCAGTGTTCTGTGTTCAATATCCAAGTTGGAGGTAGAAAGGGCCATTAAAAAAGGGCCATAAAAATGCTACACAGCAGTGGATAGTAATGAAATCCCTGCTGGACTTCGAAATATTTTTACTTATTCTTGGTGATTTGAAACACAGTGTGGGCTGGCCTGGACCTTGACCTGATTCAGCTTGGTACCGGAACTATAAATGGTCACCAACACACTTAAATTGAATTTCCCCAATCAGTTCTTGTTTTGAGATAAGCTTCTGAAGCCCCAGCTGGCTTTGACCTCTCAAGGATCTAGTCTCAGGCTCCCTAGTCCTGGGATTACAGATTCGAGCCATCACACTCCCAAAGAACTTCCCAATTTAAAGAAGTTTTCGTGCCTGACGAGACCTGGATAGCTCACTGTACTACCTCATCTTTTTATAACAGGTGACTTACCGTGCATAATCCTGGGGGGAGATCAGAAACTTCTCTTTCATCTGGGCATTGGCTTTGTTCTCCCACCAGAATTTGTTGGTGGCTTTCTTGTGCTCTGGGCTGAGAATGGAGAGGAAGAGTAACCAATCGTAGCTAGTCATTAAGATAGTAAAACAGTACTAAGTATCAGAACCCTAGGTAAGTAACCCGGATTGGCCACTGGGTTGCTTCTGTGGCCAAGACAGAGAGGGGAGTATTATTTATTACCGACCTCTTCAAAACCTCTATCTTGGGACTCCTTTTTTCCAATAAAGTGTGTGGTGGTGGGAGGAGGGCAAGCTGGTTTTTCTAGCAAGATCACCTAACACCCTCTAAGCTCCACGGTTAGCCAGTTAATTCAGTCCATAACCCAATTAAGTCACAACGTCGACCTTCCTCTCCCCAATTCCAACTTCCCATCCCACGCGTGTGCACGACTCTCTGCGTGTACAGGGGGTTGGTGGGTATTCCCCAGTTGTCACCTAGCCAGATGTTCCAGCAGACCCCCGTGTAGCACGGTCAGGTTTCCATGGCTCAGGTGTTTTCGCACTTCGCAGCCGCAGCACGGGCACCAACAGCACCGATCGTGCTCGGGGACATAGCGCTCCACCTGGGCGGCGCGGACGGCCCTGCGGGCGGCCTCCACCTACGGGACAGAAGCCAGCTAGGACCCTGAAACCGCAGCTCACACTCCTGGCCTCCCTCCCCGGCCCCGGGTGCGCACCTGCGGGAGAAGCCGCTCCAGAGCCTCCTTCAACTGTCGCTGGTGCTTGCGGCTGTAGACGTGCCCGCGACCACAGAAGAAAGTTTGCCGACACAGAGGACATCGCTGTGGTGGCGCCATGGACCCAGGACCCGCGAACACCGCCACTAAGCAGCGGCTCGTCACCACCCACTGACCCCTGACCCTTCGGGGCCGGACGGGGCGGGGCGAACCGGGGAGCGCCCGGTTCCCCCTAGAGGCAGTAGGCGCTATTGCAATCCGTTCTGCGGCTGCGCGGACTAGTCACGCCCCCCCCGCACCTCCCACGCACCCGCAGGAGAGCCGGCAAGTCTGTGACAGAACGACACCGGTCCCCGCCAGTTAGGACTTCAGACTGCGCACTTGTAGGCGTTGACAGAGACCCAACTTAGCCTAACAGATCGGAACTGGTCATTTCGGGGCGCAACACTGTGTCCCCGAGCTTTGTGTTAATGACCTCACAGAATCCTCACCTCTCGATGCTTTGTGATGTGTGGCATTATTGGCATTTTACACACGGGAAAGAATCTATTCTGAAGAAATGAGGACCTCTGAGGAAAGCTGCAGAGGTGTGTTAAGCAGGGTAGTCAGCCCCTCCAGCTTTCCGAGACCTGCAGGAAAGTACTTGGTCTAAGTGACTGTGATATTCTTTTTTTTGTTTTGTTTTGTTTTTCGAGACAAGGTTTCTCTGTGTAGTCCTGGCTGTCCTGGAACTCACTCTGTAGACCAGGCTGGCCTCGAACTCAGAAATCCGCCTGCCTCTGCCTCCCAAGTGCTGGGATTACAGGCGTGCTCCACCACCGCACGGCGACTGTGATATTCTTAATCTTCAAAGGTGCCCTGCACAAGAATATTCTCTGTAAGTCACTTCTCCCTGCATTGGCTGGGAAATCTAACTCTGAAAGCTTACGGTGAATCGTGCTCTATCGCCATTAAAAGAATATGTTATACACCACCCAGGTCAAACCAGATATGTGTTTCCTCATTTGCTCCAAAGCTGCTCAAAGCGATCTGCTCCCAAGGTCTCTGTAATTTAGCTCACTTATTTGATAGTATTTTCCTGCCAGTCTCCTCCACAGGCTCATTTCCGGCCTGAACTTAGTTTGTATGAAACAGAACCCGACATCTTCACGACTAAGCCCCTTGGATGGCCAGCTTTCCAGTCTCTCAAGATGCAGGTGGCCAAGCCCCGCCCGAAAAAAAAATTCCTAGATTAGGCCTTGAAGTCCTACCAATCCCTGAGTTTGCCCCAAAATCAAGACCACAGAATCCCACCAATCACTGAGCTTACCCTAAAATTAGGCCCCAGAATCCCACCAATCAATGAGCTTGTCCTTAGTTCAGGTCACAGAATCCCACCAATCCAGGAGCTTGTCGAAGATCACACCATAAAATCCCACCAATCTGAAACTACCCTGGAAAGCACCTCCACCAACCCTATATAAAAGCCTGCCTCCTGGTAAGGTCTGTGCTGCTTCTTTCCTGGGAAAAGATGGTTATCGTCTTGTATGTTTCATTATAATTCTCTTGTGTGAGGTGTGGCTGTGTGGTATTCCTAGACTCCCAACTGCCAGGATATCTTCGGTTCTGAGAATTGAACTTAGATCTTCTGCAACAGCGGCAAATGCTCTTTATCTGTCCAGCACGAGTGTGTTCTCTCATTCTTTCGCGTTTTCTCTGTCTCTCTCTCCCTCCCCTTTTGAACCTGGGCTAGCCTCTCATCTCACAATGATCCTCCTGCTTCAGCCCTTGAGTGCTGGAGTTCTAAAATGGAAGCCACCGTGCTCACCTTTTTAATTTCTAGTTTTTATTTTATGTGTATGCGCTACATGAAAGCTTAGTGCCCATTGGAGGCCACAAGAGGGCGTCAAGTCTCCTGGAACTGGAATTACAGACTGAGTGATAGGTTTTCTCCACCGAAGAAATAAGCCAATTCAGCCAAATTAAAAGTAAAAAGGCAGGCTTACTTGGGAATGGGCTCCTTGAGGAGTTCACCAGTCTCGGGTAAAAACCGGAAGAGGTTGCAGGCAGATTATAGTGTGGGAGCCGCTTATAGATGGGGGCGGGGAGTAGGATAGGGTAGGGGGTGTTCAGGGGGACTTGGACACCCGTCAGGAACGCTGGACTGGCCTTTTTGGTGTTTTTCCTGCTCAGAGGTTTTCTGAGTGGATGGGGTTGAAGGGAGAGAGAAGAAATGGAATTTACTGAACCATGTGGGGGCAGGAGTTAAGCTGAGGACTTCAACTAAACAGCGAGCCATCCAAGTGGGTGCTAGGGATCGAACCCATGTCCTGTGGAAGAGCAGTCAGTAGTACTCTTAACCACTGAGCCATTTCTCCAGCTGCCAGCCTTTTTTCTTTTGATACTGGGCAGGAGCAGGAGCCACTGCTCCAGTTAGCCCTGGCATCATGAGAGAAACAACCCATGCTCTAAGGTGAATGAGGGAGTTCTCTTGTGTTAGAGGCATCCATTGCCTTTTCGATTTACAGTGGGGAATGAATCACTTTATCTGGATGTTGGGGAATGGTTTTGTGCACGCTATATTCAGATGCTGATTTCTATGCCCAGACATCTTCTTGTATTTGGAGTACGGCAAGGTCAAGCATTTCTGGTTTCACTACTACGTAAAAATTGTTTTCCATCATCTCTGGCCGGGAAAGGACAGAGGAGGCAGGATATCTGAGCCTAGGGGAGAGTCCCAGAGAGAGAGGGTGAGACCGACCATGTGGAGGAACCAAGAAGATTCGCCATGAAGTCACCATGAAAGAACAGCCATAAGGACACACCCACGTGGAGCAGAGCAAGCCGGGTAAGACTCAGATTGAAGGTAAACAAACATATGGCTGGGAAACAGGCAGCCTGTTAGGATAACCTGTCCAGCATAGTACCAGGAACTGGTTAATACCAGGTCTCTGTGTCATTTACTTGGGAGCTGAAAATGGACTAGAGTGGCGGTGGGAATGCCCTGCAGCTATTGGGGGTGTGTGTGTGTAGAAAAAACCCCAAGAATGACATTTACATCTGGACATAGCTCATACACATCTGTAATCTATGTTTTCCCGTCCCGCCTCCCCTCTTCACCTCCCTAGCCTGTACCTAGGCTTCCCTAGGCTTCCTCGGAATATAAGCTGATCCCGATGAGCTGGGTTAGGTTAGGGTACTTGTGGAAATAAATTAACTGTTTTCCAGACCTGGAGAACACTCAGAGCTAGCATTTCCTCCTGTGAGAAACCTCCTCCAGCTCCTGCAGCCAGAGCTAATTTCTCTCCTTTCTCTGTGCTTCCCAGGAATATATGACATCTGCTTGCTACAGAAGTGACTCTTGATAGCCAACAGCGAGGGCTTATAATCTAGCAGACCCCATGGTAGGCTCTGGCAACTTGGACATGAACCTTATTTATTCCTCTGTGTTGTTCTCCCTGGTTGCCAGGAGCACTGAAAGGGAGCCCCTGGGGGATTGGCAGCTGTATGTATGTTCTGTCCTGCTTAGCTTAGTGACTCTCTACCTCCTCAGCCATCGGCCCTGGGCTAAACACTTCACTTCTCTGAAATTAATCTTCCTGACAGAATAACCTACCACACATGTAACTTTTAATAGCTTATTATAGAGCCAAGTATGGCGATTCATACCCATAATCCTGGCTCTTGGAAGGTAGAGGCAAGAGGACCAGGGGTTGAAGGTGATATGAACAATATAGGGAGTCCAAGGTCACCCTGAGCTACATGAGACCGTGTTTCAGTAAGAGGAAATCAAATCGCTGGGCAGTGGTGGCGCACGCCTTTAATCCCAGCACTTGGGAGGCAGAGGCAGGCAGATTTCTGAGTTCAAGAGTTTGAGGCTAGCCTGGTCTACAGAGTGAGTTCCAGGACAGCCAGGGCTACACAAAGAAACCCTGTCTCGAAAAAGCCAAAAAAAAAAAAAAAAAAAAAAAAAAAGAAGACAACAGTGAAAACTGTCTTGCGGCATACACCTATAATCCTAGACTTGGAGCTTGGCAAGTTGATCAGGAGTTCAAGGCCATCCTCAGATACTAAATTTAAGGCCAGTTAGGGACACATGATACCCTATTCTCAAAAACTTGGCCATCTGAATTGCTGAGATAGCTCAGTGGATAAAGGTGTTTGCTGCCAAAGCTGAAGACCCAAGTTCAGTCCCTGAGAACTTAACTGTGGAAGGAGAGCGTCCACCCCTAGAACTGTCCTCCAGCTTCCACATACACACGGTGGTATGGCTTGCTTGCTCTCTCACACACATTAAACAATGCATACACACACTCATCTAAACACACATGCACCGACAAGGCAGCAAGACGGGATGGAGAAGATACCTGCTCAAGCTGCTGGGCTGCATTAAATCCAGATATACACCTAGAATGTCGTCTGATCAGATTAGGCTTCCCTCTAGTTACTGCACCAGACGATGCCCTTTCCATGATCTTATTTAACTCTCAAATCAAATCTCCACTTTATTTCATTATTCCCATTTTTACATATCGAGGACAAAGGCTTAGAGACATTAAGAAAGCTTGGGCCGAAAGCACAGCTCTATTCCGGACAGGTTATTCACTCAGACGGGCAAGAGATGTGTCAAAGACAAAAATAAAAAGTTGCTAAGCAACACATAGGTCCCAGTTATCAGTAGGAGTCATCCAGGACTAAAAGCAGATCCAGGCCGTGATTAGTCCGTCAGCATCCTGGAAGAAGCAGAAGTCACAGAGAAACAGCTTCTGTTCTTTAGCTCCCACTAAGACTATACTAGGCACAGAACTGCATTCCGTTCCTTCCCCAGTCTAAGAAAGAGGCTTCGTTTTCCTGATCAGAAAATCATATTAAAGCCTTATCCATGGCAGACTCAGAACGAGGAGGGAGGAGGGAGGACCACCAGCAAGGAGGGCAAGGGAAGACGGAGACCACTTTAGTGCAGGGCAAGACATCCCTGTCATGTACCCATGCTCAGGAGGCAGTCACATCCATAGGTGTCTCTGGAGAGGAAACTCAGGCAAGGGCTTCTGAGGACCCAGCCATGAGTCAGTGTCAAACAGGACAGTCAGATCAGTCCAGGGAGAGACAGTGCTTCTGAATGCACGCTTTGTGTCTGGGGACCTGATAAGCCTTAAAGTCCACACATGCCTTTTAGT